ATAATGCATCACGCAGATGGGAGACGTCTCAGCTTCCGGCTGTGGCTGGAAAGGAAGTTTGCTCACAGACAGCAGCAAGGCAAATGCCTAGAAGTACCTGGGCTCAAGTGATCCTCCCACCTTAGCCTCCTGAGTAGCTGGGACCACAGGCACTTGCCACCACACCCACCTAATTGATTTTTTTTTTTTTTTTTTTTTTTGTAGAGATGGGCGCTCACTACTTTGTTTAGGCTGGTCTCAAAAAACGATTCTCCCACCTCGGCCTCCCAAAGTGCTGGGATTTACAAGTGTGAACCAGCACGCCAGGGCCCCTACTCTGTTACTTTGCCTCCTCCAGGAGCCCGATCTTACTATAGTCCTGGCTGTTCACCCCCCTTTAAGGCAGAGAACCTGGCTCCTATAGTTCTGCCAGGCACATGTTGTCTGATCCTCTGCAGTCTGCTGGCTGTAGGCAAAAGGGTGAAAGGCATGGACTCTAGAGCAAGACTTTGCTTCCCAATTCTGCTACTTTCTTTCTTTTTCTTTCTTCCCCAGGACAGAGGCTTGCTCTGGCGCCCAGGCTGGGGTGCAGTGGTGCGATCTCGGTTCACTGCAACCTCCGCCTCCCGGGTTCAAGTGATTCTCCTGCCTTGGCCTTCCAAGTAGCTAGGATTACAGGCGTGCGCCACCACACCCGTCTAATTTTTGTATTTTTAGTAGAGATGGGGTTTTACCATGTTGTCCAGGCTGATCTCGAACTGGCTGGTCTCAAACTCCTGACCTTGTGATCCGCCCGCCTCGGCTTCCCGAAGTGCTAAGTGCTGGAATTACAGGCGTGAGCCACCGCGCCTGGCAATTCTGCTACTTTCTAGCTGTAGCTTTGGTTAGGCTACTTTGTCTCCCCAGGCCTTTTTCTTTATCTGTAAAATAGGGATAACAATAGTATCCACTCTGTGAAATTGTTGCAAAAAATTGAGGAAATTCATGTGATGTGTTAAGAATGGCATCTGGCAAATAACACACAATGAAAGCGAGCTATTATTATTACGGAAGCTGTTTCCCTTATACCTTCAAATGGACCAGCTCGGCTGGAAGCTTACGCCTTTCCTAAAATATCTTAGCAAAGCCGTTAAGAGGTAGCTAACAGATTCAGACCCTGGCACGTGTCTTTCGCTTCTCCCAAACAGCCGACTTGAATGGTCTGAGGCCCCAGATACAGCAGCATAATCAGTTGCTTTGCTTTTCACATAAGCTCAGGGATGAGAAAATTCTATCTACTCCACCCCTTCCCTTGATTTAGCTGGTTCCATATTTCAGCTTTAGATATTTGCAACATCCCATCCCAAGTACCAAACCCGTTATTAAGACTTGTTTGAACCAGCCCAGGTAATGTGTCCATTTCTGAGGTAACCACTGTGACCAGGGGCATGGAGGAGAAGCTCCAGTTCAACTACGTGGAATGAAAATCATCTCAGATAATAGGGGTCTGCTTACTAGAAGAAAGGGGTGTTGACTGTTGACTTGCAAAAGGAACAGCTAGGTAACTTGTTGGTCAAGCAAAGCCAAGGTTGTTATGCTTACTGTGGTCAGGGAGGACACCACCTTGAAAAAGACTTAGCAGTGCCTCAGAAGGGGAATGTCAGGTTTTGGGGCCTGGGCTGGGTGATTTTGAAGTAGGTCTTAAGACTGGGCAGAGTTCCTGACACAAGAACTTTGGGCACAGGACTGTGTGCACAGTGCAGTGAGAGTCCCAAAGCTAATCTTGAGAGCTTGTTTTGAGGTTCCAGCAGGGGAGTGAAGCTACTCATACACCCTTGACTGAAGACCGGTCCTCCTCTATTGGGGATGGTGGTCCCTTTCGACCGAGTGCGCAGCTTTGGGAGGGATGCACGTGGAGCGGTGAGGGAGGAAGGGGTTACCCACCTAGCCAGCCAGATCAGCCGCATCAACCCTGGCGATCAATGGGGTGAGAGTTGTCGCAGGCAGATCACCCTCCCATCCCTGAAGCTAGCCTTGATGAGGAAGCTGTCAGTCTTGGTAAGTAAGCTAGCTGGTTGGTTTATAGTGTTATGGAAGATAAGCCTTCTGAAAATACATGTTCCTGGATACAGCTTCAGCTGTCTCTCTCTCAGGGCACACATACTTGTTTCACAGAACAGTTCTTATGTGCTTGTCTTATTCCTCTTCTAGACTGTAGTTTGCTTGATAATAGAGTGTTTCATTACTCTTTTTATCACTCTATGTCAGGACATACACCAGAGCCAGTAACACAGCAAATTCTGGAAGTATTTGTTAAACTGGAAAGGTTTCGAAGCCTCCTTGGGTTTTCTGAAACTATATAGGTTTTTGGTTTATGTAGCCCTAAAATTTCCTTATAGGAAAAAATAGTGTTTTCTTGATGAACAACTGTTATTAGGAAAACAGTGTCCTTTTCTCTTCTAGCAATGTACATAATGCATCACGCAGATGGGAGACGTCTCAGCTTCCGGCTGTGGCTGGAAAGGAAGTTTGCTCACAGACAGCAGCAAGGCAAATGCCTAGAAGTTCAAGGGCCCCGCAGGCAAATGGGAAGGGAGCCCCATTGCTTCATTATTTTCTCATCATTGGAATCAATATTAGGGCTTGAGTGATATTATTGTCACTCGCAGAACTGTTTTTTCCCTAAAATCTGAATTGAATGCCACAAATATACAGTTATCAGAATTTGAACACCAGCAGGAAAGAGACGTAGAAAAGGTAGGGGATGTTGTTGTCAGAAAGTGTGACGGTCTATGGCTGAGGGCCAGTTTCCCACTGTGGTCTGACCCCCATGTGGACCTGTGAAGGGTTTCCTGAGGAAGTCTAGGGGCCAGAGATTCCTCTGCTCAGGCTACTTTCAGCCCTGGTGGATTTCGAGGTGGTGCTGGGTAGGAAGACAGGAAGTCAGAGGCAAGAGATCTAGAAAGAGGCACTGCGATCACAAGTGGTCTGTGGCTGGTGGTGACTTTTCTTATGCAATCTGGTGTGTATGTATATGTTTGTCTGCTGGTTTTATTTATTTGAGACAGAGTCTTGCTTTGTCGCCCAGGCAGAAGTGCAGTAGCGTGATCTCAAGTCACTGCAACCTCTGCCTCCCGGTTCAAGCGATTCTCATCCCTCAGCCTCCTGAGTAGTTGGGATTACAGGTGTGCACCACCAAGGCCAGCTAAGTTTTGTATTTTTAGTAGAGATGGGGTTTCACCATGTTGACCAGGCTGGTCTTGAACTCCTGGCCTCAGCCTCCCCAAATGCTGAGATTACAGGTGTGAGCCACCACGCCTGGCTGCCTGCTAGTTTTATTTTTCCAATGCTTCTGCAATTGAAGCAATGTCTTTTTGAAAGTCAAGAGGGTACTGCATTAGTTTCCTAGGGCTGCTATAACAAAGTACCACAAACTGGGTGGCTGAAAACCACAGA